GTAATTCGTTACTTCCCATCTCTGCTTATAATTCATATAAGGTTGGAGATGATAATTTTGAATTTGGTTCAGATTTATAATGTAGATCATTAATCCTGTTGTTCCTTCTGCTGTTTTACTATAAACTGGTTAATTATTCATTCATTGTTCTTTATGTGATTTTATATTTGCATTCTATTTTCACTTAGATTACTTTTGTATTAAATGCATGGTTTATATTTTACATTTTATTTATTTGTGTAATTCTATGAATGCATTTTATTTTAGAAGCTGATAAACACTCTGGGTAAATTTACTCCAATAATTTGTAATTTTACCAACTTAATCCGGTAAAAATTACTCCAATTAAAGTTTGTCCTCCTGTTCAATAATATTGGAGAAATTCGCAACAATAGTATTGAAATATAATAGATTGCTTTAACTTTATTAATCTAGAAAGAGAATGTTTGTGCTGCAGCACCCCCTGCTGTTCGCACACTGTAACTACAAGACAGAAATAAAGGAGTTTTGAAATTATGAATTAATTTCTATCCAAACTGAAGTAATTTCTGAGGCATTTTTTTAACCATAAAAAATTTTTTTTAATTTTTTTTTTTAATTTAGCCAGTTTTACATAATGAAACCCATAATGACGATATTTTTTAACAGTTAAAACTTTACTAATATAACCATCTTTAGAGTGACACAGTTATGGTTTATTAGTCTCTCATATTGAATTGATGGAACGATAAAAGTCTGCTGTAATAAAGCAGAATTAATCATTTTTTGGTTAAATTATTTAAGTAAAATATTATCAGGCCTGTTTCAGTCAAAGGATGAAGAGATGAAGGAACATTAATCTGAGCTGAATGATGATAAAACACCAGAATAAAAGCAGAGTGATCAAAAACAATCATTTCCCCTCCAGGATCTCTGCAGGTTGTCAGTTTAAGCTCAGGAAGAAGATCAGACTTTGATCTGAACCATCTGCTCTGCAGGAAGGTCAGAAACAGGAAGGTTTTCCTCTTCCACTGAGGATGGTTTAGATTCTCGGTCCCGTCCTAAAACCACCTGCTCTGATCTTTAACTACAAACCCAGATCAAAATGAAGTCTTTAACCAGCAGACAGAGAACAAGCAGGGATGCATGTTCGTAGCGTTTTCCACAGACTGAGAATTGGTTCTTACTGCTGTTTAATGCGTTTTTTTTTCTGCCAGAGGAAATAATGCTTTATTTTGCTGTAAGATCCTAAGAGCTGAAACCTGCAGGAATCTTCCCTCATTTTCTGCAAACAGCATCAGATAAAAGACGAGAAACAAACTTTAGATCTCTACTCTGATTGGCTCCTCGCAGAGTTCAAGTTATTCATCTTTTACTGCAGCAGAATAAACTCAGTGAAACATTTGATTCAACTTTATTTATTCAGCCAGGAAGGAACTTCCATATAAGGTAGTGATGTATTTACACACCAGAACCTTTTATCTGAGGTTCAATGCATTTAAAATGACTAATTTGGTTATGAAATATTATTAAACATTATTTTACCAAAACATAAAGAAGTCTGCAGCCTGTGGCTCTTTAAAAAGCGCCAGCTAATCGCTAACAGATGTCAGCGTATCTATTTTGGGCAGCATTCTCTCCATTAACTAATTGACTTTCACCAAAAATTGAACAAATATAACAGAAATAAAAAAAAATTTTAAGTGGAATTTTTTTTTTTAACAACCATCGCCTTTAATCTGTTTATTTTTTATTCTTTTTCTGAACCTGTCTTGTTGCTTTGCTCTGTTTGATTTTACATAAAGTTCTATTTAAATGACCTAAAAACCATTTTGCAGCGTTAGAACTGGACCTAAAGGATGAAATCCTGCAGGAAGTGAACAGGTCCTCTCTAATGTTTCAGTCTGAGCTTCTGATGCTGCAACAAAAGCTGAATTTCCTTTTAGGATCTTTTCAACAGCAGAGGAGCCCCTAAGGATGTGCTTCTGTATGGATGTATGATTGTTATTAGACAGGAGCTCTAATCAGGAAGCAGAGAACAAACGTTTCACCTGCTTCACCATCAGGATCTTATCAGCAGGTGGTTGGTTGTAAAACAGGAATGGATCAGGAGACCTTTGACCTTCAGCTCCATCAGAATCTCTACAACTAGATAATAGGAATAGCAAGAGGAACCCATTTATGAGACGTTCCGATGTGAGGAGAAGCTTCAGGACGCAGAGAAGGTCCAGAACCTCCATGATGTTACCCTAGGAGCAGCAAAGGAGGCGGTTCCTTCCAGAAAACCATTAATGACAGACTGAACAGCTGCTGGAGGGTTCGGTTCTCTGATGGACCCCCCATGGAGGTTTGGGATCAGAAGATCCAAGAACTTTGCCATCAAAGCAAAGCTGAGGCTGACCCTGAGGTCACCATGGATGAAGAAACACAGAAAGATTTGGCTGCAGGAGCAGAACCGTAAAGGTGACCCAAAAAGATCATCCAGCACTGCAAAAAATCTGAATCTAGA